TCCCAGCGGAGGAGCCCAGACGCGACACGGGCGGGGGCCGCACAGGGTCACGCGACCGCCGAGGCTCGTCAGGGCACCCGAGTCCCACCTCGGCTCCCGACGCTGGACCACAGGCCAGGACTCCAAGGGACCTTGCGTGTATGTGCAATTTTAATCACTCGCGAAAAGGCATCATTTTTATATCTGACCATCTTCTTCACGTTTTTGTTGTGATCAGCTTTTCTGAGGCGAAGCTCACATCACACGCCTGGATCTCAGCCTGCACAGCTCGGTGGCACTAAGTGCGCTCACAGCCCTTGCAGCCGCCAGCGCCCTCTGCTTCCAAAGCGTCCTCACCCCACAACAGCGCCCCCGCCCGTTAGGTAACCACTCCCATTCCTGGCCCCTCCGCCCCCCCCGGTGACCCCCAGTCTGCTTTCTGTCTCCGTGGACCTGCTGTTCTGGATGTACCGTAGAAAAGGAATCGCGCACCCCGTGGCCCTGGCCGTCTGGCTTCCTGCGCTCAGCGTGATGTTCCCCAGGTCCACCCAACAGCGCGTCCCTCCTGCTCTGGCCGAGTCACAGCCCACTGCAGGGATGCGCTGTCGTCCACTGATGGACATCTGGGTTGTTCCATCGTTCCCAAACACACAGAAAGACGGAGCGAGTAACACAGCGAGCGCCCATTCTCCCAGCCCCTGACTCAGCAACAGGGTCTGGGCGAGGGCGAGGCCGGGGGGCACTACAGCACGGTGCTGAGGGAGGGGCTTGCTTCCAGGGTCCGCAGGTGCAGGGAGGACACCGAGAGTGACGCCCCCGAGGCGCCTCGCTGCCTGGCTGGGTCCTGGCCCTGCTGGACCGCTCTCACCTGTCACCATACTTGCTTCATGAACAGTGGGGTTTAAAACTTGGAATATATTCAGTTTACAACATTGTGTCAATTTCTGGCGCAGCATTTTTCAGTCATCTATATACACACGTGTATATTCCTTCCATATTCTTTTCACTACAGGTTATTACAAGATACTGAGCATAGTTCCCTGTGCCGTACAGTAGGAACTTGTTGTCCATCTGTTTCATATTTAGCAGTTAGTATCTGCTAATCCCTAACTCCTGATTTATCCCTTCCCACCCCCTTCCCCTCTGGTAACCATAAGTTTGTTGTCTATGTCTGTGAGTCTGTCTCTGTCTTGTAAATACGTTCATTTGTGTCTTTTTTTTTTAGATCCCACATATGAGTGACATCATATGGCATCTTCTCTTTCTGGCTCAGTTCACTTAGAATGGCGATCTCCAGGTCCATCCACGTTGCTGCACATGGCACTGTTTTGTTCTTTTTATGGCTGAGTAGCTTTCCATTAGACAGAGGTTTTTACTGGAATCCTTGAAGGCGGGCTGTGGGCCACGGGACACCGCGCTCCCCAGTTGCTCGGCTCCGGTTGATGACAAGGACGTCCGCACAGTGACAGATCCACTCCCGCCGTGATTCTGCGGAGCCCCCATCCCTCACCCACAGCCACGCTGAAGCAGAAGGTTAAACATTTC